GGCTTAGTTATGACACTTTATAGGTTTTCGGTTTTCGCCATTTTGTGGGCGTGGCAGTGGGCCGATTTTGCCCATTTTCGAACTTAACCTTCTTATGGAGCCAAGAAATACGAATACCAAGTTTCATCATGATATCTCAAGTTTTACTCAAGTTACACCTTGCACGGACGGACGGACAGACGGACAGACAGACATCCGGATTTCAACTCTACTCGTCACCCTGATCATTTTGGTATATATAACCCTATATCTGACTCTTTTAGTATGAGGACTTACAAACAACCGTTATGTGAACAAAACTATAATACTCTCTTTAGCAACATTGTTGCGAGAGTATAATAAATATTATATTCATCACAAAGAATGAGTATTGTTTATACGCGGAATATCAGCTATTATCTAGATTTTTGAAACGCGCATTCCCATCCGCAAATACGAGTAAAAGTATGTACGCGTGTTTTTCTTACCGGAGCACAGTTCCGATTTTGCAGTTTGTAGATAAGAAGCAGAATGGCGCTGTGGAAGCGTGCTGGGCCCATAACCCAGAAGTGCGAAGGTCCGAGGATCGAAACCTTGTTCTGCTATTTGCTAACTTCAAAGCATGTTATTTATTTTTAATAAAAAATAACTAGTAATAGCACAAATGGTTAAGAGTAATAACTTAGATCTAGCGTTAAATGCTAGTAAACGAATAAGACAATGCATCTCTAATTATTTTCAATTCTCGTGCAAAATTAATTTAACCAAGGAAAAATGTTAACTTCGGTTAAACCGAAGCTATACCATAGTACCGCTCACCGGTGCATTTCTTATAGCAAAAGAACATAAAAAGATCTTTATCTTTATTTTTATCGATCATTTTTCATGGCAGAAGTATGCTAAGTTACTTGCGTTGATTTGCGCAATAATTTATGACAAAGTTCGAAAAACATATCTTTGCCAAATAAAACAGTTTTCTTACGAGATTCCGACTTCTTGGAAAGAAAAGGAGAATTAACGCAGCTCGTGCTCCAAGTAGAGGAATTCTTTTCGTGTCATTTCTGTTCAGCATTGTTTGGCATTCCATCATGGAACGACTTACGCCTGAATAATGTTTTCAAATCGTTCAACTTTATTACGAAAGTTCACGATCTATAAAAAATGTGTTTCGCTTTCAGTTATGGTCAACATAATCGGCTTACTGAGCATACTATTCGCAACACCATCACCCATCTTGAGACCAAGCAATCATTATTTGATAATATTCGACTGTTTAGACCACGAGCAGCACGCCCTGAAGAAAATATAGCTAGCGTAGCTAAGACCGTGGGGAGTCCATTCGGCGCCGTTCGCAGGAACTCAGACGTATGGAACCGCACCCCGCTCGAAATTCCGAAGCGCCACCTGAATATTATTCAATTGGTGTAGGTTTGTGCGCCGGTGGAATCATCGGTCCATATTTCCTCAAAAATGATACCGGTGGGAAAGTAACCGACAATGGTGACACAATGGTATGGCACTTTGAAAACGGACAATTTGATGCCTGAAACTAAAGCTCGTGATCTCGGATATTGGGTTTCAACAAGACGGCTCCATGTATGGGAACATCGCATCAGTCAATAGATTTGTTGAGAGAGCACTTCAGTGAGCAGATAATTTCACGTTTAAGGCCGGTCAATTGGCCGCCAAGTTAGTGTGATATTATACCGTCTGACTTTTTCCTGTGGAAAGTCTGAAGTGTGTGCAGTGAGTCCCGCTCCGATTCAAGCCTGGGAACAAATCAGGATGCGTATCATTCGAAAGTTATATACATTTTGCTACTTCGGACTGAGTAGGCAATTGAGAAGTCAAGTTCTCTCTCGACGAACAAACACCAAACTCTATAAGTCGCTCAGCATCCACGTCCTACAATATGGGTCAGAGCCTTGGACAATGACGAATCGATGTTACGAGTTTTCGGGAGAAAACTTCTGCAAAAGTTTATGGTCCCTTGTGCATTGCCAATTGAACTTTGAGATATACGACGACATTGACATAGTTCAGCGAATTAAGGGTTCTGTTCCTTTATACTGTTAGAATTAATGTAGAAACCCACTTTACTATTGGAAGGTTTCGAAAAAGACCCAAAAATAATAATACCGCTCGACGTTCGGAGAGCTCGGAGTGCACACCTGGTGTATGCTTTTTCAGTATTTCAAAGTTTAAACGCGTTTTTGTCAAAACACACTTTTTTAAACTGGCAACAAAGTTGCTAAAGAGAGTATTATAGTTTTGTTCACATAACGGTTGTTTGTAAGTCCTCATACTAAAAGAGTCAGATATAGGGTTATATATACCAAAATGATCAGGGTGACGGGTAGAGTTGAAATCCGGATGTCTGTCTGTCAGTCCGTCCGTCCGTGCAAGCTGTAACTTGAGTAAAAATTGAGATATCATGATGAAACTTGGTACACGTATTTCTTGGCTTAATAAGAAGGCTAAGTTCGAAGATGGGCAAAATCGGCCCACTGCCACGCCCACAAAATGGCGGAAACCGAAAACCTATAAAATGTCATAACTAAGCCGTAAAT